GACCAATTATTATTTAACGATTGATTCTTCATAATCTCCACAAACATCATAATGTCTCAAATTCTCCTTTTACCAAATATATTGCTATCATCTGCAAGGCAAAGTCAAAACCTATACTTCATAACCCTTAAGAAAAATTCTCTTACAGAATTTAAACAATAAGAACTCCAAATACTTGAATTCTTGCCAAAAGTATAGTTATGAACAATAACTAAATGCATCACATTATTTTCATAAATTTCTCAAATTTCTCTAAAATCAAGTACATGCTGAGCATCATCAAATACACAAAATCATCACTAATTATTAAGATCTGATTATAAAATGAACAATATTTTGCACTTGTAAGATTTTAAAAAAATCATTCTTAACCAAAATGTATATATTTTTTCAGTAAATTAATTACTCCCCCAAACTAAACCTCCTTACTAAATCATTTAGATAACCACAAATTTAATTTTTATTCATAAATTTAATTCCTTGTTAAGTACATAGCCTTGTACCACAATAGGCAATGTTCTCTGTAAATTATAAAAATTTGAAGGAATCCAATATTATACTTCAATTAGAATTATAACTACAAATTAATCACTTTAACCGTTAAAAAAAAATCAGTACACCCCAAATAGGAATTTAATGATCAAACTTCAAATTAACTATACTAATGTCCAACTCGTGGGACCAGATCTTAAATATTTTCTCAATAAAAATGTAAAACTAAATCAAGTGAATATCCTACTTTACGTATATAAAACTATTTACCACAATTATAATATTTTGAACCAAACCCATCAAGACAAATTCTCAAACATCATAACCGAGAATTAATTACTTCAAATTTTCAAAACATCATTTCATTAGAACTTCAATATTTTATACTTTTAATTCCAACAATGTACACTCTTATTCCAATCTTAATCCATGATCAAGGATTCGCTTAATACTTATCAAATAACTTCAAAATCTCATAAAGTCGAAGGTCCTTTCTCAAACCCATTGGATCTCCAAATCACAAAATAAGCTCTTAAACATCCCACATAGTTTAAAGATCATAACCTGAACTCTCAGAAAATCTCCAAGAATCATAACTTAGGCTTTTAAAGAAAATCTTATCACAATCTGAAAATCATAATCTAATTTTTAAAAATTCTCCAAAGATCGCAACTTAAGCTCTAGTATCATTTGTGGAGACCTGCACCCAACTTGTGAGGTATTATCCGTTTTGACCCGAAAATCTTATGGTTTTGTCCCACAAAAGGTGTCTCATAGGTTTAGATTTAGATTTCAACATATATATCATACTATATCCACACATTCTTTCAATGTGGGATTGGGACGTCACAAATCTTCTCTGTGATAAAATGCGTATCAACCTCCACATGCTTTATTCAATCATGATGCACTAGATTATGAGCTAAAAGGCTTATGATAACGAAGACATGGACTGCACCAATTGTTGTTTCTATAACTGGTTCTAGAGCTAAAAAGCTCCATTTGGCACTCAATCTTCTACTTGGACATTTTTTGGCTCATGTAGAGTTATTGCATGGTGAGGAGCCTAGGATGATCACCTTGATCACTTATGAAGGTGTTTGAGCACATTTGGGCTATTTCATGCTATGTGGGTTTAATTGGCCCATGTTTGTATTGGGCCTTGGTAATTTGGCCATGTGTGTATTGGGCCTAATTATGGGCTTGGTGTGTGCATCTAACAAGAATTTAGCATTTGCGATTATTTTAGGCATATTATATTTGATTTTATTTGCTTTTATTTGGTTATGTAATCTTTTATATTTTTGGACAGATTTCGTAGTCTTCTAGATTACCAAATCTAGTAGAATATCTTAGGAGTATCTCGGATATTTTCTTTCTTTTGATTCTAGAGATTATTATTGAGCCTTACTAATAAAGGCCAATAACTTTTAATAGCTGCACCATCTAATGAATTATTGATTGAAGATTCTAGAATTGCATTCTCTTGCATTCTCTCTTTTTCTTATCAAAACAAGCTCTTGTTTTATGGTGAATAACCCTAGATTCTTATCACTCTTCCTTCTTTCTCTCTAAGAGTGTGGCAAAACACCCTTGTTTAGTTGGTTGTGGTCTGTTGACTTATCAGCTTATTTAACTTGGTTTATCCTTCTTTTTTCTTTGTTTTACTTGTTGATAACCGAAATTTCACAAACTTTTTATACTTCCACAATTGGGGCGCATCACATTTATCCTCTAAAAGTCAAAACTTTATCAGTTTATAAATCTTTATTTTAAGGTGAACGTGATTCCATGGGAGCTAGTTGAGAGTTTGGAATGTGATATTTATGAAGCTACATTGCAGTTACAAGAGTTGATTGCTTTGAGAGAGGTGTGGGTTTGAAAATCTTTATCTTTCTATCTTTGATGAATACCATGATTTTAAAGATTATATCAGCATAAGAAAAAACTCAAAAACTGGAAATCACAGCTTATATATGATGAATTGATGGAACTAAAAGATGCATTAAGGTATGCGATGAATTGATGAAAACAAAAGATGCATTAAGCGAGGTATGTGCTGAATTGGGAATAAAATGGAAAATTTTATTGATTCTTGCCCAATTTCATTTTCTCAAGAATGTTCTTCCAATGTATATGAGAAGAAAGATCCCATTGAGGAAAAACATGATGATGTTACAGTTGTGAGCATATCTTCTGCTTTTTAGGTCTTAAAGAACAATCTTGTTGAAGATGGTTTAAGAGACGAGATGTGCCGGATAGAATCTGTTGAGTTATTGCAACATGATTTGCTTAATGAGAATGTTGAATCTACAGCTTGCAAAACTAAATTTGTGGCTATCATAAAACTTGGAAAGTTTGTTTAAGTGGTTCTTAGTGAAGATCCTTTATCTGTTGAGTTTATTCGTCCAGTTAATGAGATTAAGCCCATTGTTATTGATGATAGTTCCACCATTGACTTCATCATTCCAAGTGTACTGAAAGATGAGAAGTTGCTTTGTTGAAGATGTTTATGCCACTAATGAAGTTGAGATTTGACATTGCTATTTATGAGTCTTGTTGGAAGGTTTTCTTGCCTTGATTTTTCAGAAGTGGATGTTGAGTTTCTGACTAAGGGAGAATGATGGAGGATCTGAATATGCTAGTTGAGGGCTTAAATTACCTAAGATTTTATTTTATATTTTATGGGTTTAATTGTAACTTATATATACATATATATAGGTTATTTGATAGTAATTAGTATTTTACTTTTCCAAGTAGTAGGCTTTTATTGTTACTAGTTTTTGTTGTCACGTACATTGCATGTGAATACTTGCTTTTTATTTCTTTATTTATAATATAAATCATATTAGGATTACAAAGAGAGTTTGGGAGAGATCTCCACTAGATTTTTTTATCCCAAACCTAATAATCTAACCTTGCCAACTCACAAGCAAGCTTATTTGCATCCCTTTTAACACAAGAAAAAGAAAACATAGAAAATTCTACCAATAGATACCACACAACAGCTACCAAGTTACGACCATCCCACAATGAAGCCTCACATTTTTCAATCTCCTTTATAGCCAAAAGAGAGTCGCTTTCAATTATGATATATGATGAAACCTTGTTCTCGAGCCACTACTAAACTCCACAAAATAGCTCTCATTTCAGCATTTATTTTTAAATAATAACTATATATTGAATATAGAGTTGTGTATTGTAAAATATTAAAATTCAATACGATGGCCAAAAAACATAGTTGAAATTAATAAAATGCCTATTAACATGTAAAGATTGTCTTAGGTGCAGAATAAATTAGATTAACGAAAAGTTTATTACTTTCTAATGTTAATGTAAAGTTAAAACTTTGCAGACAAAGAACTTTTCATATAATAATTATAAATAAATATGCATTTGTATATTGTATAAATAATTGAAATTAATGAAGTGCATGTTAATCTTTGAAAAAACATTCATGTTAACATGTAAAGTTTGTTCCATGTACATAATAAGCATATCATGTTAACATAAAGTTTATTACTTTTAATTAATTTAAACTTTGAAAAAAAAAAATTAATGTATACATTATCTCACTTTTATTTAACAATTAAATTTATTTAATGAAACTATTTCAGCAGAAATAGAGTTTTATTTTTAAATTAGATAAATCTTTTTAATATTTATAATAAAAAAATTTTAAAATGGCAATTTAGAAATATAATGAACATGTATGTTTTTTTCATCAGTTTAAAAGATTCTAAACCTTTGTGCTTATATAATACATATTTGATAATTTTCATTTTATTAGGGTTTGGGAGTTAGTTATAAATAGCTATGTCATTTTAGTTTGGAGGTTTTGGATGATGAATATTTGAGTTATTGGATTTCTGAGTATTGTGATTTTCCATGTTGATTCTTTTATTGGTTTTCTCCTGAAGTTCTGTTTCTTCACTAATTTACTCTATTCGTGTCTATTTGTCAAATTCTCTCTAGATTTCTATGTTCTATCTGTTCTCCCTACCTGTCCAATACTAGAAGTTCTAAATAAATTGTGAAGTAGTTTCCTTTTTTTGTTTATTTATTTATTTCTTTAGGAAAGCAGAATGTTATGGTTATCTCTTCTTCAGTGTCTTATGCTTTAGTTTATATTTATGACCACAGAGCATCTTTTGAGATGAAGTTTTTAAATTGAAGCTATACTATAATTTCTTTAAGATTTGTTAATTCACTTTGCTTATCCTCCTAACCTTAATATATGCATCTAAGAACTCAGACATTAGAACCATCTGACACTTCCTAAACAATATATAGGTAAAATGCTTATGTATTAGTTTTCCAAACTCCATATACAATATGATCCAAATCGATATTTCATCTTTTGTGTGAAATTTTTGTGTCTCATATAAGAGGTTTGGAGTTATTTAATATATATTTTGGTTTTTATTTTCATACTTTGTAACCTTTCATTTCCTGAAATTTCCATTTGATAGTGTTATCTTACTATTTTATGTGACGGTAAAACACAGGATGTTTTGATGCTCATAGAGGCTATTAAAAGAAAATATTGAGAGTCAAAGACATACATTTCTGAAATTAAGGTGCCTTCTCAATTCCTTTCCCTCAGAAAAAGAAGTATTTTATTTATTTTTTGTTCCTGCCACCCTTCTCTCATTTTTACTGAATTGCTAGAGAGCTGCCTTTTCCTTTGGTACTACTATTGCCATTTTCTGCCTCTTTTGTGTTCCCATCCCCATGGTGAGAAATCTCTTTTGTTGTTTTCTAGACCATTGCCCATACAAAGATACGCAGACACAGAACCAGCATTTGTTGCAGCAGATGGCTGAGAAAGATGACTACAATATTAAGGTCCATTGCATATTATATTCCTTTATTCTTTGACTCTATTATTGCTTTCTGTTTACATTGTCAAATAGTTCAATTATCTGGTCTTGATGCTTTGGTCACTTTTATGATTGCAATGGGGTTAAATGCAGCTTGTCTCTGAGAGTGTAAAGACAAAGCAGGCACATAGTTTCTTTCTCTCTGACAAGCAGACATTAGCAAGGCAACTTTAGTAGGCCAATTCATCAATTGAATCCATGAAAATGAGGATTGCACAGAGTGAAGAGCCGGTAAAATTAGTTAGTACTCTGCTACTAAAACTTGTTTCACAAATTTACCTTCTAGATGGATTTACTTGTTTGTATTTTTTTATCAACTTATAGTTAAACACTTGTAGATGAAAGTTTGTCTGATAGATGCTATTAAATTCACTCAAGCGGACAAGATATTGTTTTTTATTAGCCTTAAACTGCAAAGTGGGAGTTGGCAGATACTGAGAAGGAGTTGAAGTGCCTTAAATCTACTGCAACATCTTATGAGAAGGATTATGAGCAGCTCCAGTGGAAGGTGGATGAGTTCCAAGTGAAGTTGGATAAGGAACGGTGGGTTTTCTTTTCTCCTTTTTTGATGATTCCCAGGCTTATAGTTTTGTGTCTTACCCAGCTGATTTACATTTTGGTGGAATTAGAAGATAAAAGAGTATATGTATGTTATGTCTTCAATAAGCATTTCTCTGCTGTATATTGCTTATCATATGATGTGCACAGTTATTTGCTCCAAAGAAAGATGTGGGACAGGCTATCATAATGGTCAACAATTGCTACAATAACGATGTTTTAACCTATGCTATTACTGCATTTATACTAGCATATTTCATCTTAGGCTTTCCTAAGGTTATAATTTGTATCTGTCAAGACTTAAGACTTGTTACCTTTCCAAATACCTCCCTTTTCCTTCATCTTTTAAATAATTTGTTTAGCTTTCCTGCAAATTAAACCTCTCTTCTCTGATGAAATGGGGGTTTTTCTACCCCTAAAAGCCAAAGAAAGAAACTTGAGGAAGAGCTCAATGTATTGAATAGCAAGGTTGCTCAATTTAGTTTTGAAATAGGAGAGACTGCAATAGAGAAGCTCCAGGATGAAATAAAAAATTGCAAGAATATTCTCAAATGTGGTGTGTGTTTTGAAACTCCCCCTATGTGTTGTCACACTGTCGGTCTCAAGCTCAGATAAAGGAAGAGAGTTGCAATAGGTTGACAACTAGTATAAAACATAGTCAAACCATGATGAAAGACCAAAATAAGAATTCTCGTTATGTCGTGGCCTCTCAATGATGTGTTACATCGGAGCCCGGATGTAGTGCTAAATATGCTAGGGTTGCTAGGTTGTAACTCAAAAGTGATATGCCGCATTACCACCTGGATGCGGTGTCAAATAGGCAAGAGTTCTCGTGTTTTGGTGGACAAACACAAGTAAAGAAGCTAGTCCATATGGGTAAGTTATGCTTTGTTACTTGGAATATCGAATCATTAACTGGTAAGCTTGTGCAGATAGGAGATGCAATGGCTAGAAGAGGAATTAATATTATGTGTCTTTAAGAAACTAAAGGGGTAGGGAAAACGGCTAAAGAGATAAAAACATAGGGCTCTAAGCTTTGGTACCTAGGGAAGAAAAGAAGTAGAAATGGAGTGGAGATAATTGTTAATAAGAATTTGATGGATGATATGGTTGAGGTTAAAAGAAAGGGAAATAGAATTTTACTTGTTAAACTTATTTTAGAAAAGGAATTGTGTCTATCATTAGTGCCTATGCCCCACAAATAGGTTTAGATCAGAAGAGTAAGCAAAAATTTTGGGAAGATTTAGACGAGACAGTGCGAGCCATACCATACGAAGAAAAATTGTTTATTGGAGGAGACATGAATGGTCACGTAGGTGAGGATGGTAATTGGTAATGACTTTGAGAGGGTACATGAGGGATAAGGCTTTAGAGAAAGAAACGAAATCGAAGAGACTATCCTTGAGTTTGCCACTGCATTTGACCTAACAATATTAAACACATGGTTTAGGAAAAGGGAATCACCCTTGGTGACATTTAGGAGTAGATCAAATGCTAGTCAAATTGATTTCTTTTTTACTAGGAAAGAGGATACAAATAGTTGTAAGGATTGCAAGGTTATATCGTGTGAGTGTGGCCACATAACATAAATTATTAGTACCCGATCTATTCCACCTCAGGGGGTCAAAAAAAAGACATCAGAGTCATGAACTACTTATTAAGTGGTGGAACTTGAAGGGGGACAATGGCAGCGTTTAGGGATAGACTAGTAAAAGAAATTGATTGGAAGCCTATGAGGATGTAGAGGTAATGTGGGAAAATATTACAGTCAGAATTCAAAGTGTTGCTAAAGAGACATTTGGGGAATCTAGGGGTAAGGCACCATTATGAAAGGAATCTTGGTGGTGAAACGAGGATGTGAAAAAGGCAATTAAAGCTATGTAGGAATGTTATAAAATTTATGGAATAATAGGGATGAGGAGAGTTATCAGAAGTATAAGACAGCAAAAAAGCAAGCCAAGAAGGCTATTTAAGACTTAAGGAGCAAGATCCATGAGGAGTTATATAAAAAACTAGAGACAAGAGTTAGAGAAAAAGAATTGTTCAAAATTACTAAGATGAAGGATAAGAAGAATAGAGATCTTAGTGGCATTAGGTGCATCAAAGGCAAAGACAGAAGAGTTTTAGTGAAAGACGAGGAGATTAAAAAGAGATGAAGATATTATTTTGATAATCTCTTTAGTAGCAGTTTCGAGCATGATATAGGTGGGTTTGACATACTTTCACAAGATGGAAATCGTGTGTTTAAACGTAATATTAAAAGCTATGAAGTTAAAGAGGCTTTAAGAAGGATAAGATTAAAGAAAATTGTAGGACCAGCTCGAATCCCAATTGAAGTCTGGAATGCTTAGGTGAAATAGGGATAAAATGGTTGATGGATCTTTTCAACAAAATTTGGCTTACCTAAAAGATGCCAAAAGAATACAGAAAAAGCACTCTTGTGCCTTTATACAAGAATAAAGGTAATGTGTAAGATTGTTCGAACTATCAAGAAATAAAACTTATAAGTCATACTATGAAACTTTGGGAGAGAGTAATTGAATGTAGGTTACAACGTGAGGTCATTATTTTCGAAAACCAATTTGGGTTTATGCCAAGATGCTCCACAATAGAGGAGATCCACCTTTTGAGACTTTTATTAGAGGGTTTTGGTGAGAAAGAAATCTACATATGGGATTTATCAACTTGGAGAAAGCATACGTTAGGGTTTCTTGAGAGGTGCTTTCATGGGCCTTAATGAAGAAAGAAGTACCTTTAAAGTACATTAACATAGTTAAAGATACGTATGAAGGAGTGGTAATGAATATGAGGATGGTTGGGGGCATGAAAAATAGCTTTCTTATTACCTTAGGATTACATCAAGGCTCAGCACTAAGTCCTTTCCTTTTTGCATTAGTTATGGACAAACTCACTAGACGTATATAAGATAAGGTACCATAGTGTATGTTATTTGTTGATGATATAATCTTAGTTGTTGAAACTTGTGATGCCCTCAATATGAAATAAGAATTATGGAGGAATACATTGAAATCTCAAGGTTTTAAATTGAGTAGATTTAAAACTGAATATATGGAATGCAAGTTTAGTTGTCACAAGAAAGTGAGTATTAGTATGATTAAGTTGGATAGAGAGGGAGTACCAAAGAGTAGCCAGTTTTGATATTTGGGATCAATTATTCAAAGTGATATTGAGATAGAAGCAAATATCAAACATAGGATTCAAATAGGATGGTCAAGGTGGCGAAGTGTTTCGAGTGTTTTGTGTGATCACAACATACTTTTAAAATTAAAAGCGAAGTTGTATAAAATAACTATAAAACCTGTATTACTATATGGAACTGAGTGTTGAGCTGTTAAGAAATAACATGAGAAGAAAATAAATCTAGCGGAGATGAGAATGCTTAGATGGATGTGTGGTAAGATTAGAATAGACAAAATAAAAAATGAAGAGATTTGAGAAAAATTAGGGGTAGTCCAAATTGAAGAGAAAATGAGAGAGGATCATTTGCGATGGTTTAGACATGTGAAACATAAACCTAGTCATGCATCGGTTAGGAGAATTGAGTCTCTAGATCTATGAGAGATCAAAACATCTATAGATAAACCACAAAAGATATGGATGCAAATAATAAAAAATGATATAATAGTTAAAGAATTAGATGAAAATGTGACTGTTAATAGAAACGAGTGGCGCAAAAAATTTTAAATTACAACCTAACTTGATTTTTTTATTTGATTTTTCATAGAGCTAATCTTAGAGTATGGTATATAGGCTCAGTGTGTTGTTGTTGTGCTGTGTGTTTTGACCTACCAAAGAAGGTGAGAATGCTATGCTGGATACTTCGTCATCATTTGTACTTTAATATTATTGTACTTTCGCCTCTTTTATCTGCTTTGGATTGCGCTGACCGGCCAAAATTATTGCTTTATATTGGGCAGGTTGTAATTGTGACATGCTATCATCTATTTTGCAATCCATGTATACAGAGAAATTTAGAGATACGCCATAGGAAGTGCCCGGCTGTGGAGCTGCATTTTGTCAGAATGATGTTCGGTTTGTGAAAATATGAAAGAGTTATCCCATGGTTTGTACTTTTGTGATTTAGGTTGGTCGAAGTTAGCATCTGAAAATCAAGGATGGCTCCATAGTTATGGAAATAATTTTTTTATGTAATTATTTAATTGTAAAAGGAAATTGAACGAGGTAAATCTTCAGAATTTTGTTTCATTTGGATGTTTGACCACGTGGTTATCTAGTTTAATGTTTCACACTAACTTGTTCCTGAGGATTACTTGCGTTGGAAGAATGCGAAGGTCTCCTCTCCTGGACCCTAGTGTAGATGTGATCCCAAAAGAAAGCACCTTTAATGCTCCTTGATTTAATATTTAATCAACTACGGGAACATAAGATTTCCAGCTATATATATATATATATAAAGCGAAATAGTTGTAACTGAAAAATACATCATCACTTTCAACTGGACAATAAATTAACAAAATAATTTTTATTTATTTATTTTTATTTTGTTATACGAAGTGACCGTTTCAAAGTCAAAAACCGAAACTCAAAAGAAATTAAGAGATGCTACTCTCTCTTGTATCATCAACTTTCCACTCCAAAATCAACACCTCCTTTGTACTTTCCAAAACCCTTTTTCCTGTCTTCATTGTTGAACCCTCCAACAAAACATCACTCCAGCTGTCACCAAGGCACGCAACTGGGCATCCCTGCGTGAGGCTCCAGCGCTTTGGGCTGGTAGGCTTTGCATTTACTATACCTTCTTGAAGACTGGCTTAGCTGGATCTCATGCTAACCCACTTGTCTCAGATTATAACAGTTTTTTGAGTTGCTGATGTTTTTATTTTTTGGGTTTTAATTGCTTTTTCCTTTGGTTAGGGCTGGGGAGTGGCTGTAGCATTGGTGGGTCAGGTGATTTGGGATTGCTAAAGTGGTTGGAGACTGTACAGTGGAAGCCAGGTTACTTATTTCCAATCATTAATTAATTTCACTTCATTTTTCTTCATTTCATCCTTCAAGCATGTTGATAAGATTTGGAAATGTAAGATCACGATATAGAGTTACTGGTTTAATTTTCTTAACATTTTGGATATGAAAGTTTAATGAATGAAAAAAAAAAATTCATGTTAAGCTGGGTTTAGTTAAACAATTCACTCAAAAATTTATGAGAATTTATTATTAAGATTTTGTTCAAGTGTGTTTAAAAATGAATTATTGGTTGAATATTTTGAGTGTTTGGCTAGTAAATTGCACCGTATATTCATTATCTTTGTGCAACATTTTAATTTCAACCATGATGTTTAAAACTAAATTTTGACAAACTTTTAAAAATATTCCAAACATCCATTCTGTCGCCACCATTAAAAATTTTACACAATCTACCACCTGAATGCCATGTGACAAAATAGATGGACCCATTTGACTTTTTTTATTATGTTTTATGCCACTAGGACGTCTACATGGCATTATATACTAATATTATGCTAATATTTATAATACTAAATAGGATAAACTAATAGAATAAATATAACATATAATAGAATAAATAGAAATAGAATATATAATATATAATATAGAGATAAAATAATAAATAATTATAAATATTTTTATAATTATAATAATATTATTAATAATATGATCAAATTAAAATATCATTTTTAATATGATTAAAATATAATCAAATAGAATTAATTAAAATAAAATATTTTTTAATTTTAAATGGAATTATATTATTATATTCTATCAATATTAGATTGAATCTACCATTTTTATGTCAAATATGTTATATTAAATATGGCATTTAAAATTTAAAATTCTAATTTTTCTAATTTCTAGTCTATAATTCATATTAATAATTCATACATATTCTTTTGATTCCTAACAATGATTTAAGAAATGAATTCATTTAGAATAATTTTTAAAAAGTTGCAGTTGGAAACGAAATATTGCACAAATGTCACGATGATTGATGCATTTTACTCTTGTTTGGTGGAAGTGTTGTTAGAAGTTATGAACCTTAAGACTAGAAGCTGTTTCTTTTATCTGTTTTTTGGTTTGTTGAGAATGAATGTATCATTAAGATATCGAGTTAATTGTTCAACTTGTTTTAATGTTACATATTTGACATTTTATTGTAATAATTTCCGGATAATAGCTGCAATTGAAAAAATAAAAAAAAATAAGATGACAGCCTTTTATTTATTTACTTTGTGTACACGCACTATTGAACCACGCAATGGGAGGTAACCCTTTCTCATTCCTTTAACCCCATCCTGCCCATCCCCAAATTCCAACTTGAGACCTCCAAGATGAAGTCTTAACTTCAACAGTTGGATTGCCTCCTTGGGGTTGGGACAACCATTTAAATTAATATAACCGATTGTTTAGTTGTTATTCATCAATGCACCGAAGATTTCTCGTCATAATACAAAGGAGATCTTTAGTTTTTAGTGTATTCTTTTTATGGTCGATTATAAAGGTGAAGAAGGAATGGTAATAACTATAAAACTTGTGTGAAGAATTAGTAATTTTTAATTTATTTTATAAATCTGTGAAAAGGCTTTATTTGTTGTCATTGTCTTGTTGTTTCAAAATGCACAATATAAATGAGAAGTTGCATAAAGTTTATTCTTGTGTCACAATAGGCAATTAAACATACCTTCGTAGCCATTACAAATGCTTCATATTTGACTCTTTTGTGGCTGACAGGAGTACCACTTACAGTATATAGGTGTTAATTTGATTTTAGACGTCAGACTCTGCTTTGCATTTTTCAAGTTGTGAAAGGTATTCTAAAACTTAACGTTTTCATTTCAATATGAAAAGAATAACCTTATCTTTTTAGTTAATTTCTTGGGCTTGGGCATCTCAAATCAAATAATTTTTGTATAGTTTAAACAGGTTTCCAATTCCATGCTTTCATGGTCTATCGATGATATCTTTTATTCCTAAGTTGTTTTAGTTATAGTTTAGCTCTATATTTTTTGTTACAAACATAATCAGAAAGACGAGCTTCCAAGGTGGTGAGAGGAGCAAACCCAAGAGAATTGTTTGGATTTAATCCTGATAGGATTTAGTTTAAATTGGTCTTGTCTTTCGATCCTGCAGATGGTAATAGAACAGCAGATTTATCGGTATCCTTTTTTTCGTTAATCTGTTTTATCTCATTCATATTTTGGAGGTGGCATGAAATTACATGTTTTGGAAACATTGTATTCTTTGCAGGGTTGTCAAATAAGGAGGGGGAATGCTCATGGTGACAGTGTTTGCTTCAAAAATGTTAGAGCTCTGTTTGATGAGCTTCCTACTCCTCACCTTACAGTGGAAATAACGTCTGTTCCTGCGGGACCTCTCAGTGAAAAAGATTACATCAAGGCTGAGAAATTGGAAGAGTTCTAAGGTCCGGTCCTTCCGTTTCAAATATATTTAAGATGAAGGCTTTCCTTTTTTATGTATCCAGACTGTAATGCGTACTTATTAGAATTATCAACGGTAACTTATGCTCACCTGCTGTTGTTCTTGTACTTTACAACTCGACAATGACGGTTGAAAATGAGAGAAAGCAATGCACTGAATTTTGTGGTAACAGACTTCATTGTAGGCAGGCAATCTTCTTCCTTGAGTTTGCGTTAACTGATCTGAAAAGGGAATTGGCTAGAGACAAGAAAACTCATTGTCTAGCTCTATATATTGATCATCTGCCAGAAGGGTACAAACAGCAACAGAGATGACAAATTAAAGCTCCATGATTATGAACACAATTCTAAAACTGGGGGCCATGAAGCCACAGATCTTGTTTTCCATGTTTTTTTTCCCCGCTGAATCTTGTTTCTTTTCAAAAGCCTAATAGACTGAGCAGTCAGATTTTAACATCCCAGTCAGATTCAGCTAAGGAATCAGTAAGCAGAGTAGACGCACCTAAAATCAGCAATCGAGGAAAATAATTTTATGTATATATATATATATATATATATATATATATATATATATATAAGATCTTCAAACAGAGAATCAACTTCTAGGAAAACTGTAAAATTTCATTTCCCGATTGTGGCTGTCACAACAAATTAATGAAAATGGTTACTACTTTACTCCTACTGAAGCCATCAAATCTTCATACTCCGGATCACTTTCCTCTTTTCTTGCTTTTGCTTTATCACCTCCCTGGTGTTGAGATAAAACAGGAACAGAAGTGGGAGAGAATGGATCATAAACTTGCTGTCCAGTAGAATGACCAGACGTAGGTCTAGTAGACTGCAGGAAAGGACCACTGGCAAATCGTGGGTTTGGAGACGCAAAATTTCCTGGCCTAGTTGGCATAGCTGGGTAGTGCTGCTGACGTTGCAAAGAATGCGCTGGCCTGGAAGGAAAGGGACCAGCCATATTGGGTGTTGGGGGAGATGGAACAAAGTTTCTCAATCCCATTTGTGAAACTGGAGTTGCATTTGCAGCAGGACCAGTGCTTGGGAATGCTGGAGGTCGGAGTGAAGCAGACATGGCATTTGGGTTAGCAGTGAGCGGTGAAGACATGTGAGTTTGAGGCAAACCCATCTGGTTGCCACTCAGTGGCCCAGGAAACACTTGCATTACTGGTTGGGGAGTAGAATTGGGTACACCAAACTGGAAAGATGGTGCGTGATGTGCCTGCAGTTGAACTGCTGATCTGGGGTCTAGAACAAGTGGATTTGCAGCCTGACTGCCTGGCCTTGGAACCATTGAAGAGCCTGGACCCTGGTGAGGTTGAAATGTGAAATCCCCAGAACTTCCATGTTGTGGTCTTGGAGCTAATGCTGCAGGTTGATTTAGGGGAGCAAAATTTGCCATGTTTCCAGAAATAGATCCAGAAATTCCTCCTGGCAAAGATGGTGACAAGGACATGGATGGCACTCGTGAGAAAATTGGTCCAGATACCATTGCTGGATTTATAGATGGACTCGGTGATGGTGCCAAGGAAATGACAGGAGAGGAGGATTGCATTGGTGTTGGTACAGGCATAGGTACAGACACTGCTGTTGGACGTAAAATAGCTGATAATGCAGGGGCAGACACTAGTGAAGGGCCAGGACCAAAAGACATGGAAGGACGGTTAACAGGCACACTGGATAAACAAGGGCCAGATTGCCCTGTTGCAAAAGTTGCTGAAATGTTTGCAGGGGCCATCGAATTGGATGCCAAAACCGGTTGTGGAACTACAGGATGAGGCACCTGGGAAAGAACTACTGGTGGAGCCAGTTGCCCAACATTGTTCAGACCTAGGGATGCAGAAGTGCCTGACCAACCTGTGGAGCTTCCTGCAGGTACCTTTGGTTGCTCTTGTTGCAGTCTTGATGAAACACTTGATGCAGTTTGAGGAAACAAAGGCATTGATAGTCTTGTCCCAGGGAGTGGCCCCAGTGCTTGGGGCTGGCTTCCAGCATATGGTAGTGGGGACAAAATGCTAGGTTGAGTTGGAGGATTCGGATTCGAGACAAGAAAATTTCTAGGAGGGCCGGAATGACCCAAAGGATGCATCTGAGGCAAATATGGCTGTGATAATACTTGTCTTGGCAGCAGTGGGCTGGATGAAACAAAGGATGAGTTTTGAATAATTGAGTTGTATCCAGCTGCAGCAGCTGGTCGGGACCCAAAGAGTGAAGGCAGGCCTGAAGGTGAGGACTGTGCAGGCACAGAACTGTTGGGAATTGGTGCTGAAAAATTCAGCGGTGTCAGGCCTGTAGAGAACCATGAATTATGGTATTGAAACTGACCTTGTGAAGAAGCTAGTGTAAGTTGCGGCACTTGCTGATTTAAAGCAGCATCAGTCACACACGACACAGCTACATCCAGCGTTTGACTACAAACATTCACATCATTTCTAAATATCGTGGGCACCGAACTAGTACCTAAATTTCCCTGCAGCAAAGGTATGAATAGTTATTTTCATAATGCAGTAGTAATACTAAGAACAGCCGGTGCAATACCAAAAACAGAAAGGGAGTAAATAAAACCACACATCAGTAGCAACACTAAATAAATATCATTTCTTGATCTTCTTTCTATTTTTCTGGAGAGTTTTTCTGGATTTTCAGAGTGATGAAACTCACTGATATTGAACTAACTAGCAACTCAATAATTGCAACTGCTCCATCAACTTTCTCAAAGCTGTCAGCTGATAGATGAACATACAACTCTTCATAAGCATCCTGGGTTTCAATACCTTCAGGTGATGAAATTTCAACCTGATGATGAAGACTAGCTATAAGTCAAAAAAGCTTCATTTAAACATTCTTGAAGCATATATTTAAGGTAGAGCTTTCTTTCGTGAGAAAATAGAAAAAGGTTCAGTTCAATTAACTTGATGGAGTTTTTCTCTCAGCCCAAGGAATTACCTTCTCTCCAGCATTTGCTTTAATGCCATAAATTTGTACTTTAGCTCCAGTTTCCTGATTTGCAAGATAAAAGGTAAATTTAAAATTTTCTCCTGACAAAGAGTATATCATATATATGTGCAGATGTATATACTTATGTATGACAACATATATATATATATATATATATCTTCACACAAACTTACACATAGAAAGCAAGATCTTCATTATATCTCAATGACCTTAATAGTATATCAGTATCAGTAGAACAAAATAGCACAAACCAAATACTTACCTTTTCTAGACGCTTCTTAGTATCACTTCCAGGACCAAATATTAGACCAGTAAAATTGCATCCGGGATATTCTTTCACCTACAAAGGTAATATTCTGTCATAACGTACAAATTTAAGGTATGCACGTAAGGAGAGGATGGAAGGAATTTAATAATTTGTAGAGAGAGAGAGAATAGCTTTGCTATGAAAGTCAGAACAAATTTGAAGGTTTCCATAACAATCCATAAAAGCAATTAACCCAGTCAGATTTGTTCCATTTTGAAGCAACTGACACAAACACCACAGCTTCTCTGATGACAACATATGAGCTGTGATCATGGCAACCTCCTTAATCAACATATTACCGACTATTATGATACTACCACTAACTTATTCAGGTTGAAAATGTCCCAATATGCAATTTTCCATTAAGAAGGAACAAATATAAAGCAAGTACAATTAGGGACAGCCAAAATTTTTCACTTTGGGGGGAGGACAGGATAAACATAACACCTTTAATTCATTACAATTGAATTAAGAGTTAAAAAATAATAAGGAAAACCATTTTAACAAAAAAATATAGTAAAAAGGCATGCTAAATTCAAATGAGATAATAATCTAATTAAATGAAACATAGAGATAGTTTTTGACAAGTAAAAAGATATATAAATTTCAAATATTATAATTCATATTGTATTCATAAAGAATTGAATAAAAAATGAAATCTAACCAATATCGTAGGAAGTTTAATAGAAGTTGATATAATGCAATGGTTCAATCCCATTAAAAATCTAGGAACATTTAATGCTCTTAATAAATATCATGAGCTTTTTAATAATTTAATCCCACTAACAATCTTGAAAAATTACAAAAAGGAAGAATTATATACTCTTGTCAAAATATCAAAACTGTTAACTTAAATTTTTAAAAACATCATATATATCCCAAGGACACTTGTCCATGAAAGAAACCTTGTGGTTAAGTTTTCATTTATATGATCGATGTCAACATATTTAGTTGAATAATTGAATAGGTAAATTCAGATTTGAGGGATCTAAAAATTGTACGTATAATGTATAGATGAAAAATAGTAAAAGAAAATAAAATTATTAATTAAGTTTGGAACTAAAAAATTGTAAGTACGTATATATATATATATATATATATATATGGAGAGGGGGCGTGAGATAAAAATTAATCTTTCTTGGTTGACAAAAAGTCAAAACTACCATATTACCAAAGGATCCGCCCATGGATGCAATTACCATTAAAATTTCTAAGCACTGAACAATGAGCAGAAACAATAAGAAAAAAAGGATCTTCTTTTCTTTTACTGACCTTACTCAGGATTTAGTCCTAAAAGCAGGACAATGGCAATCCATGTAACCAACCTCAGAGCACAATGGCAATCCATATAATCAACCTCATGTTGAGTGGAAAGAATTGTTCATAGTTATTGTTGTCTAATAAGTAGCTGAATGCTAAAACTGGTTTCTCCTATTTAAGCTATCTTTTATTAATTAGTGTCTTGTTTATTTTTCAAGTATTAAGGCTTTAAGGATATCTTTGGTATTAGCATATATAAGACATTTAGGATAAACTGTCAGCAGCTTTTTAGATTGACAGAATTATTATCAGATAATTTCCAGGATTACTGCTCTTGTGATTGAGTGATGCAATCACTTATCAACTTTAACTGTGAATAATTTAGCATCGCACTGTTAGATTGCCCAAATAAGAAAATCATCCAAGTGATCAACTCCTCAAGCTTAGAATGAGCTTCTTCTCCAATAGTTTGTTCAAGCTCTCAACACTTTTCATTTTTCATAAAAGATATTTGGTCAAGTCCTTAAGATGAACAAAATGGAAGAGGAAACCTAAAATGTCATTTTACTTCCGCCATAAAAGCACTAAACTCATAAGACTTAAAAGTACGTTCAATGGCATTGAAACTTTCCAAAATGCTAAGTCAACCATTATTTCACAGAAAAAGTAGCCAAATAATCTTGTTTCAAGACCACCCTGCAGGTTGCCTATAAAAGACACTTATTTTTCCCAGTTAATCAGCCAGCTTCACATCTAGTAATCACTGTCTTACTTAGGTCAATGACCCTGTCATTTTCTGCCAGAGTTAACAAATACAATAGCACAAGCAAATAAGGCCATCCATGAAGCAACTTTGCATATCTTTCTTGTTATATCAAGAATACACTTAGGGCTGAGTAGAGTATCTTTCACCATTTAGCTTTTTACTGAGACCATGTATCACTAAGTCATCACTGATCATCAGATCTCTTTTAGTTTAAAACAATGATATTTAATTCTTCCTTTATAAGGGCCAACCATGATATATTTGAAAGAGAAATGATCTGAATTCCTAGATTTCAAAACCAAATCAGTCCAATTATATTCAATTCTATTTGACCTGGCTTATTCCTCTTCTATGCAATTTGCTTTCAGTATCTATCATCCAAACTAGTACCAACTTGCTGGTAAAGTATAGAGGGATCTTCAGATCACAGGGAATGAAGTTAGTAAATTCATAAATGCAGAAATAACAACGATGAAGCTTATTATGTACTACAAGTGCTGCTTAGTAAGGAAAAAGTTCAAATATTTCAGACTCGACAGAATTTTCAATAAATTTTTCATCTGCAACATTGTCATTAATAACTCAAATATATTGTTTCTTTCAGCAGTATAATTAAAAATGATGGAAAAGGGTGACATATGAGAATTAGATGCAGTAATATGACAGCATAAAAATGAGCTTACAGGGATAGGAACCGTTGCCTCTTTCAATGAAGGTTTATAATCTGCTGGTGCTTTGTAACTTGGATTCAATTTTAGTATTTCACCTGGAAGTCCAACAAAAGAATGGTTAAAAACTAAAAATATTGGAGAAAGAGAAATATATCATCTGGCAAAAGCTGTCAAAGTTACCAATAGCTTCCCGTCTTTCAAGCTGCAAAAGTTCTGATTTCTACATTCACAAATTCTATGTAAGTTGGAAACATCAAATACCCCATAAATCAGTACAATACAAAGAAATTAACAGAGGATGCAATATTAACTGTATTTCTACCTCACTATCAAGTTGAGTATCAGAAGATCTTTTAACCATATTCTGAGCAGCTAAGGGTGAGTCTTCGGGATCCCCAACATTCAGATTTCCTGACTTTAGCTGCTGTGTAATCTGATCCACCCGAGTCTGCTCAAAATTGGGACCACCACAGAGGTAGTAATATCACTTAATGGCACCTGGAATGTGAAGTTTCCATGCTAGGAAATCACACAGAAGACACTGACATCTTAGCACCCAATGGGATAAGGAAATGTTCAATTGCCATCAGATGGCAATATAAATATTCCTCCCACAATCTGGGCTACAAATGCCTCCAACTCAATACTCAAGATAGTTTAAACTTGTTGATAACTTCTAACATTTGACACTTAAAAGGTCAATAGAGAAAGGAGGAAGTTGAAAGAAAATTTCTTAAGAAAATAATTAGGACCAGAAAAACAAAATGACTGTCAAATGCACTTTGTAAAGAAAAGATCAAATACCTGATAAGCTAAGGCTCTTCCCCTTCTGACAGCAAAATCCTGTGTCAGATCAGGGCCCCATTTTGTTTTCCTCTGAATATGGTTCATATTATCTTCATTGGCAGTATCATTTCCTCCTGGTTTTTTACCTCCTTGGACGATAGGAACCAATGAACCTGACAATTTATTTTTTGGTATAACAAAGCCAGTCTTTGCAGCAAACCTAGAGACCTTTGGGCCTGTAGTTGATGTTGTGGATGAAGTAGTTGTTGCTGACATGTTGACAGTGTTAAGTTCAATGGCAGATGTCTGGTCAACCTTTGTACTCATCCTCTACTCTCAACAACTTCCTACTGCCCCTGACATATGTATGTCACATATAAAATTAGTCAGGGTTCAGGAGGAATCCACTTATACTGTCAATTGTAAAAGGAAAAGAAGGGTAAAAAACTGCCAACTAGCGACGATAGAAAGGAAAGCAGACAAAAAATAGTTGAGCAGTCAATTCTTCATTTCTTCTTAATGTAAAATCCTATAGTATGATTCGATGGTTACAAGACTTCAAGCAAGAGTAGAGGCCCTACTTAAGCTTGAAAAGTCAGCTTTTAAATGTGCTGTTTCTTAGATGGATTTTCTGTTGGACCTTGAGCCTGGTAAGAGAGAGCTAATGCAAGAGAACTTGTAATATGAAAAACAAAAACGTTCAACAAGAAAGAAGCCCCATATATATTACCGAAATAATTGCCAACTTTATAAGGCTTGCAGTGAAGGTTGGTTTTTACATTGTGGAATTGCATATGGTTCTAAGAAAATAGTCTGCAATCAACTCAAGTATTCCCCCCCACCCCAAAAAAAAAAAAGAACCTTATTGTTTCAAATGCTAAAAAAAAATTTTTCAGTATTATTCAAAAGTTGTCCAAGGTTTCGACAGTATCCTATAACCCTTGATCCAAATACCTAAAAACGGACTTATAAAATTCATTAACTTGCTGGAAGACAGAAGTCTTTTTCTTTTCAAAATGCGGAAGGGGGATTTGAACTCAGCTCTTTGAACAAGGAAACATGCACCTACAATTGAGACAAGTTCTGGATAAAACTTCAACTGTTTAAACTTGTGATAATACACATTACAAACAAGCATCAGTAAGAAGTACATATAATCTCCATTACCACAAAAATCAGAACCTAAAAAGTTCAAGCAACCAGTTTCCTTCGTAATTCGTATCTCAAACTACTTAAGGGGAGTCCAAATTGGTTCAAACCAACAAGCAATGGCATGTAGCGCAAACAGAAGCTAATTTACCGATAAATGCCTTTTATCAATAATCAAATTTACTCACAAAAAAAAAATCAAATGGCAGAAAAAGAAAAGGCAGCTTAAACGTAATCAATAAAATCAGAAAAAAAAATTAACTAACATGGAAATGAACAGGCTGCTAATCATATTTTATCAAAATAAAAATTCAATTTTCACTTTTCTTTTTCATTTGCCAGATATCTCAGCAAACAAACAGAGGACAATAAATAAGAATTCCAAACGTAATTCTAGTACTTAAGAGTTAAAAATTAGATATGAGAGTACCTAGGGTTTAACCGCACGGAAGCTGAGCTTGAAATGGTGTGCTTTCAAGTTTAACTGAGCTCAGAGATAGAAGCGAGTTGTTATGCAGCAAAATACAGGTTCTGAATTTTGATTAACCAGCGATAAGCGAAGGTGACTGGCGAGGGCTGCTGATTAGTCAAAATGTGCCACAAAACGCCCCAATTTTACCAAAAGTAGGATAGGACATCGGAGTTTCATTGGGGTTGTAGGTAGATTTGCTATTTGTATATTAATAATATAATGTTATTTCATATTAAATTTGTGTAAAATGTAAAAGTTATATATTAAATTTGATATATTAATATAAAATATATTATTGATTTATGTTAAACTCATATCATGTTTAAAATTATTAGATTTATTTGTATCATTAAATTAAAGATTTGCTATATGTATATTAATATCATGTTTATTTCATATTAAATTTGTACAAAATATAAAAGTTATATTATTAAAATTTTGATATATTAAATTTAAAAATATATTATTGATTTATGTTAATCTCATATCATGTTTAAAATTATAAAATTTACTTGTAGATTTACTATTTGTATATTAATATCATGTTTATTTCATATTAAATTTGTGTAAAATATTAAAGTTTTATTATTAATGTCATAACATATAAATCTGTAAACCTACAGCTAAACACCATCAAATAAGTTGCTACCAATATTTTATTTAACTGTAATTGATCACCTAATGAATATATTCTTTTAAATAGCTCTTACGTTTAACTAAAGCTCTCTAAAAAATAAGTTATGGTCTACTAATTAAAATAAAGTTCAAGAGTTCAGTTACATATAGGAAAAGTTATAATACTTCCACCTACCCATTCAACGGATAATATCATTTTATTTTAAATTATTCTAAAGTATTGGTTCTAATGGTCTTAAATTTAATATTGAAAATAATTCTTAAGATTTCTCTATCAATTTGATAGAATTCTTAAAAATATTTCATCGCCTCAAGAGTATTCAAGAATCTTATTTGTTTTCATGAAGAGACTCTGTAGTTAGAAAGCTTACTCAATTTTATTTTTATTAAATTTTTATTTTATTGAAAATATATCTAATTCTTTCACCATTTGGCCCAAAATTAAAAATATTTTCTTACTTAGAAATATCTTAAATTATCATCTATTTGTGATTACTAAGAATTTTGTCTTCAAAATTTATTATTTTTATTTTTATTTTTATTTTTAAATTTTTTATCATTTGGGTTTATTTAGAATCTTAACTCTTATTAGTTTCTTAATATTTGAAAAGAAAATAATATGACAATTATTTTTTGAAGTCTTGTTTAAATTCTTTAACTAATTGAGTTGAATTTAAAGAAATTTTTTACTTAGAGATTTCTTAAAAAAAATTACCATTTAAAATTTCTAAGATTCTTATCATTGGATAAATTGTCAAATATTTTCAAACAAAATTTAAAGTTATATTGTTAATTATTTTTGAAAAAATATAATTATTTTTATTAAAATTTCATCTAAATTATTTCATTATTTAAGTCAAATTTAGATAAATTTTTTACTTAGAGATTTCTTCTAATATTTATCTTTTAAAATTTATAAGAATTTCATCCTTGGATAATTGTTAATTAAATCCTAAATTTTTATATTATTTATTTTTTGTGTAATTTAAAAAATAAATATTAATTATTGTTATTAAAACTTTATCTAAATTTTTCTCTATTTGGGATGAATTTAGAAAAAATTTTCACCTAGAAATCTTATAGAAATTAGCCATTAGAAATTTTTAAAAATTTCATCATTGAATAATTATTATTTACTCTCCAAATTATATATATTTATAATTTTTTTTCTAATTTTTTCTAAAATTTAATCATACAAAATACTTTTAAAAAATAATAAATAAAGAATAACATAAAAAAATAAAAATAAAAAAACTAAAATAGGAACCAACTCGGCTCGTTTAACGTGGCGTGGCTTGGCTACAGGAAAAGAAAGCGGCATGAACGACTCAACTCCCAACTCACCTTGGCTAATGCTAAGGGCTCGGAATGTGGGTCAAAAATAGGTTTACAACCAAGTCGAGCCACCCTATATGAAAACACACGGATCTGGTAAAGACTAAAATGCCAAAATGGCATCGTTTAATAGATGTATAAAAGGGCCAATTTTTTTTTCCTCAAATTTCTTCTTCTTTTCTCTCTCTTCTTCTTTTTTCTTTGCCTTTTCTCTAGAAGACAGATAAATGCCAGTTATCATGTTCTAGAATTTCTCATCAAAATCTGGGAATCTTACCAAAAAATTCAAGTTTCGTAGGAAACTTTACCGAAAATTGAAAAAATTTATTGGAATCTGAAAATATTTTAGATTTTAAAAAAAAATTCAAAAATCACCAAGCCTTCAGAATTTTTAAAAAAATCAATTAGGCTAATAAAACCCCTGCTAGAAACTTTTCTAAAATTTTAGACTTGACTATTTCCTCTATTTTTTTCTCTGATTTTCGTGTACACCTTTTTTTTGTTAATATTTGTGTTGTCTTTATTCTACTAATTGAATACTTATTTATAGAGAGAAATCCATATCCAAATAGTAATCTAACTCAAATTAAACTCCTCAAAAAGTCTATCTGACATTGGGATTATGATTAAATTTCATTATTATCTCTAAAAAAACCACTTTCATAAGCTGATTGAATCCTCTTATAATTAAGTTTCTGTCATTCCTTTTTTTTAACAGATAATAAAAAAATAATAATAAGATAATAAATTAATAGTAAAATAATAATAAAATAATAAAATAATAATAAGATAAAAATACAAAGATAATTATTTAAAAAATAAATAAATAAATAAATAAGACAAACACAATAAAAATAAAACAATATAATATGAATAATAAGACTTAGGCTGGGCTTGATCCGGGTTTGATCAAATTAGGTACAATCGAATTGAGTCCAATTATTTCAAGCTCAGACCAAATATGGTGTCTAGAATTGTCCCTCTTTACGCATTTCCTGTTGCATAGGAATTGTGCAAAAAACATAGACAACCCATTACATCCGAGTCCAGACTACTCACCTTTTTTTCTTTTTTTTTTTGTTCTCTTAAATGGTCCTCAAACTTCTTGAATAGCATAACAGTTCCTCTAAATAGAGGTTTAACACTTTGAAAAACATAAAAACTCCCTTTAACAGAGACTCAACGACTTTTAAAAAATAAATAAGGCTCATCTAAGCTGAGACTCATGACTTTTAAAAAATAACTAAAGTTCCTCTAATGAAGGCTTAACAACTTTTAAAAAATAAATAAGGCTCCTCTAAACAGAGGCTCAACACTTTTGAAAAATAAAAAAGGCTCTTCTAAATAGAGGCTCAACACATTCAAAAAATAAATAAGGCTCCTCTACATAGAGGCTCAATGACTTTTGAAAAATAAACAAAGCTCCTCTAAATAAAGGCTCAACAACTTTAAAATTTTGAAAAATCTTCATTTTCTATGACTGATTTTCTTAAAATATCCTTTTTCAAGGATTAGAATCTTACCTCATAGGTTTTTTTTCAAACAAGAATTTGAAATTCCTTGATCGAAAAGTCTTCATATTTATCTTCTCCATATGAGACCTTGCACTATTCTTGTTTCCTAGATTCATGTACTAGACATTCTTAAATACAATGTATGTTATGCAAATGTCAATTAATATCTTTTCAATTGTGGTACATAGATTCTCAAGCCTCTTTCTTTTGGATCTAAGACTCTTCAATCTTCAAGCACTAAGACCAAACTGATTAAATTCTCAATCATGTTTTTGATTCAATGTTAACTCTCATACTTTTTTTTTAAAGAAATTTTTTTTCTCCAAATTCAATGTCCTTGCCAAGAACTGAACACTTCATATTTGACTTTATCATTTTCAACCTTTCTAAGGTAATGTAGAAATCGTTCATGCTATTATTCATTTATCAATTATTATTTCAATTTCAAAAAGTAAAAATGTAATAACACATTTCTTCCATTGCAAGGTATTAAAAGGAATAGCCAAAGGATAGATTGGGAATAAATAGGAAATAGTCATTAAAAGAGAAACACAAGGAATGAAATGAAATATCTTTTATTTAAAAGAATGGTAGAACAACTTTGGCCATTAACAAAGAAAAACGGTTACAAAAATGGGTATGAGGTAACAATGCCTAAAATAAATAATTAAATAATCATAATAACATATTTTGAAATCTTTTCAAAAACTCAATCACTTGATACAAATAACAACTTATAGCTTATCAGAATGTGCTAGCCTTCGTACTGGTGAATTGTCAAATTCGATGTCGTATTCTCCTCATTTAAGTCACCTTTTCAGTTTTTCAACTTAAATGATCTCTCTTTGACTCAAATTGTAATTTTAGGGTTTTCAATTTGAGTCTTTCTTTTTCATTTTTTCATTTTTTTCTTTTTGTAAGTATAGTATTTTTTCATAATATCAGAATTTATTAGATTCAGCAAATCATTTCCATCCATTTTCGTTAATATTAATGTTTTGCCTAAGAAAGCTCTTTTCACAACATATGGCCCTTTTCAATTTGAAGTCCATTTTCCTCTATTATCATACTAGCTTGAAAGAATTCTTTTCAAAATCAAATCTCTTTCTAAAAAACAATGAGGTCAGACCTTTTTATCATGAGCTCTCATCATTTTTCTCTAATATAGCTGACCATGACATAGTACTATCAATCTCTTCTCTTCAATGAAATTCAACTGCTCATAGCACTATCGAATCTATTCAGTCTCTTCCAATCCAACTTATTTTAAAACTCTTAAGGATGAGATTTTCACTTTTATTGGCAACACAGTCTCCATTCCATATACCAAAAAAAAATAATGTTGCCCCAATAAAGGTATGCACTGATGTTCAATAAGCATGCAATGCAAGTGATAATTTTTTATGTCAATCCTTATAAATCCCAGTCTTCTTCTTAAGAATTTTTTTTGTATTATTGTTTGCTGCCTCAATTGCGTCATTCATTTTCGGATGGTATGACACTGAATTATGATGTTTGATACTGTATTAAGTGTATATTTCTTACATCATCTTACTGTTTAAATTCTTGATATTATCTGAAATAATTTTTTTTAAAAGTCCATATCTATAAATAATTTTTTTTATGAACTTGTAGACCACAAATCATGTCACACTTCCAAATGAAGTTGTTTTTACCCATTTTGTGAAAAAATCTACCATCATAAAAA